AAAAAAAAAAAAAAAAAAAAAAAAAAAAAAAAAAAAAGACCCCACCTCCTGACACTACTGCACTTTTTAGGGAACGCATTCAAACGATAACTTGAGGTCTTGTGAAATTCCTTTCCAAAGTAACCTTCCCTTTTATCACCCCCTGGCCTTTTAGAAGAGCCATTTTCCCTGAGCTTCCCCTTTACCCATGAGGACAGCCAGGAAGGGACAGAGCAGGAAACTAAATCTGTGGATATGTATATTATATACCCTTCTTCTCACTGAGGTCTGTGCCAAACAGGTATGGGAGAGGCATCAAGGAAAGCATTTGGCCAGTTGCTGTTTTCAGGAAGGTAACAGTAGGAGCTCCGTTCCTGCATTAATTCAACACAGGCTACTTATACCAAGCAGTGTGCTAGGCCTTAGGGCAGCTATGTAAGTGAAGCCTTACTATGCTCTTAGCTTGAGGTGCTCCTCCAGCTGGAGAGGCAGCCTAAGGCTGACTGCACTGCAAAGCCAGATGTCACCTTCCATCTCCGTGAGGACAAGTCTGTCTCATGACCAACATGTCCTCAGCACTTGTCACAGTGGTGCTTCTGAATAAGTTATAAGGGACACAATTTTTTCTTCCATTTTTGGTTTTCATATTGACTATGATGTCTAGTTATAATTTTCTTCAGGGCTGGTCCGTGGCTCATTCATTAAAGTATCAAGCCTCCTAGAAGATACTTTACCCTGTGGGGATAGAGTGAGGGTAAAGCACCAAAAAACATGTTCCCTTAAGGGGACTTTGCTTTTAATGGGAGTTGAGCAGAGATGCACAAGGACTGGGCACATACCCCAAGTCTGTGACAATGCGACCCAGCTCCTTAGCATTCCTAAGTACAGCTACAACTGCCCCAGGGACCGCCTCTCCCACCCTCTCACAGATGAGTCACAGAGCCTCTGACCAGACTGCAAAAGGCCTTGCCAAGGCCAGGCCATGCCACGGGGAAGGTGAGCAGAAAGAGTATCCACTGTTCCAATCTGATTTTATTGAAAAGGAAACATACAAAAATCATGTACAAAAAAAATTAACCAAACATGTACAGAAAATTCATTCCGGTATCTACAGCAGCGCATATACAGTATTTTACAGGCTGGGCCATCCCTCCCGCCCCCAGACTCCTCCCTCTTCTGAGATTCCCCCCTCCCTGACTCCCCATCTTCCCCCCAGCACTTCGCCCTGGGGACTAAGGCTGGGGCAGCTTCAGCCAAAATCTCCCACCCCCCAAATGAATGCCAGTGGTCACACGTGCTCTCTCTAAACCTATGCAATGGGATTGATGGGGATAGGGGTGGGGGGGTGGTCATGGGCAGAGCACAGAATTCACAGTCTGGGCCCCTCCTGGCCAGCCCCAGATGAAGGTGAGGCAGGCATGCCCACCACCTGCCAGCTGGCTCAGGGAAGATGGCTGGGCGCTTGGCTGAGACAGCCCTCAGACGCACCCTATTCTCTGGCTCCAGGAGGCTAGTGGTCACGTTTGGCTCATTTGCTCTTCACAGGCCCCCTCCCCAGGAGGAGGGGGGGAAGCACCATGGGCCTGAAGCCAGGCCCAAAGTGAAGGATCACTGGGAGGAGATCCCCCAGTGTCACCCCTGCAGCTGGAACGGTCAGCCAGCACCAGCAGCCTTTCCTGAGATGGTGGTGGGCAGCAGAGGCGGGTGGCTCAGTTCCCACCCCCTCGGTCACCGCTGCTTTCAGATGCTGAGTCCGTCAGCCCTCCCTTCCCTGGCTTCTCTGCCAGGGACCCAGGAGTCCACATCTCTCTCAGTGCACCCCAGGCTGGGCTGGGGCTGGAGTGGCTGCCCTGGCCCACTCGTGGGACAGGCAGGGCTGGTAGTCCAGTATGCTACATGGTGCAGAAAAAGTCCCCTGCGCTGGCCAGGGCGTCAGGAGGTGGGAGGGTCCTGCCCCCCAAGTCCCTGACGTCCACCGGGCAGGTGCAGGCACCTAATTGGGCTCCATCTCAGGGGCTCTGTGGCCCCTGGGTAAGGGTAGGAGTCCCATGATGAGATTGTATAGGACCCTCCAGGGCGAGGGACGGTGTCGCTGCTGCTCCTCTTGTCTCTAGGGAAAGAGAGAAGGGGAGATTAGCATGGGCCCGTGTGCGGTGACAGGGAAGTATGAATGGTCAAGTCAAAGGGCACTGAGGGACGAGGCATGGTTCTAAGAGTGAGCTACCCCCTCAGCAACCCTATTCTAGGTGGGCCAATGTCTTCACCTCTTGCAACCTCACATCCTCACCTAGGACATGAGACCAGGAGGGAGAGGATATAATCAGAATGCCCTCAGCACAGAGCCTGGCACAAGCAAGTGCTCAGCACATGTTAGCTGTGACACCCCCCCCTCCCGCAACAGTTTTCTAGATAGAAAAGTCACCAGACCAAGTCATAGGGGATGAAGGATGGGGCTGGATTGCAACCCATTTTGACCTCCCCTAAAAGGCTGGTGAGACAGAGAGAAGGGAGCAGGGAGCCTATAGTCTCAGCAGTTCTAGAGCAATCTGTAGAAGGAGCACTGGGAACAGTTCACCATCTATGCTGAGGCTGTGCAGCAGTACTTCCAGGCACAGTTGGGTTCAGTGCAAACTTGGGGAGCCCCCTGCCCTCTCCCCCGGGGCAGAATGAAGGCTTGGGATGGCCTCTAGGACCTTCTCATGTCCAAAAATGCTAGACTCCCCACCAGTAAAATTTAAAGGCAATACTAAAAATTGTACACATAACTATAGCACTCTCCTGCCCCCTGAATGAGTGCATGGCCAGCCCATGTGCTAAGCAGGGCCCACCTAATCTCTTCCTCCTCAGATGCACAGGGAGGGAGAAATTCATTTTACAAAAGGTCAGATAAAAGAACCCTAATGATCCCCAATGGGAAGCTAGCAGTGGGATGCCTGGTACCAGCCCCTGCCTCCTCAACACTCCCTACCAACTCTTGCAGCCAGGAGAAGTGGCAAGGGGAGGCACATCAGATTGGCATAGGTTAAAAAACCTGCCACTGTCACACTGCCCTGGGATGTCACCTGGCACAGCCACCTCATGAGCAAGCTAGCAATCATCTAGTAAGGGTGACAGCAGGCAGATCACCCTACTCTGGAGACACTAGCACAGGAACACACCTGGAAATACGCATCGTTTGGAAGAGGGGGAAAAAAGCCAATAAATAAAATTTGAAATATATTTTAAAATATATTCTAAATACCCATCAATGGGAAAATGAGTCAGGATACTATGTTGATTATCCATATGGATGAATCTCACGATATAGAGGAGAAAAAAAAGTTTGGAGAGGAACATGTATAGTAAGCTAAAAACGCCCCACGTTTTTACCAGCATTGTTTCTGGTCTGGTAAAGATGTAGTAAAAGAATCAACACCTGCAGGGGGACGACATACATCAACTTGAGAGGTTTCTTTTGGAAGGAGGGAGGGCAAAGGGATCAGGGAGGGGAACAGGGAGCTTCACGACATCCGTTTTTTGTTGTCTTTTTAATGAGCAATGCGGGTGTAATGTGCAAGTTGAACTGAGCTGGGTGGTGGGCGCATGAGATTTGTTATTCTCTATTCTCTGCTGTAGGATTCCAATATTTTGTTTTAAAGAGAAGCTTTGTTGTGGGTTTTGGGGTGGAGGGGACTCCCGCGGGGCAGGCCTGCCGGGCCGTCCCCCAGCCGGCCCCGGCCAGCCCGGGAAGCTGTGTGGCGCGCGGCGCTGCGGGCGGCGCGGGAGGGAGGGCCGGGCGCGGCCGCGCCGCCGCTGCTGACTCACCGGCTATAAATAGCCCGGGATATAGGAGCTGCTCCGCCTGCTGTACG